AAAGAAATCCCTGTTAATTTGTATAATAGACCAACTAGCTGTAAAATTCCATGGGAGAAGGAACTGTATCCGTTCTGTTCAGAGTTCTCACCTCAGCATCTGGCAATACAGTATGCTTAATAAATATAGATTGAATGAACAGTCGTAGTCAAGATATTTTATTTCTATAAGTGACAGATTTCAATGTTCTTACAAAGATTTTTATCTCTGTGCTCACTGTTATGAAATCTTCAAAAAAAATTGAAATGGCAACATTGGTAGCAGCTAAAAAGTAATGTCAACATATTTTTACACTTATAAGATTAGAAAATGTTTTCCTTACTATTTCCTAAGAAAGACTTACAATGGAAGGCACATGGCCTCATTTGTTAATAAACTTTTCAAACTCTAGTTTTCCTATATTCAAATTATTCATTTCCTTTCGCCTTAGTGACTACCATTATTAGTCCACTCTAATTTTCATTGTTCTATGTTTTCACCCCAAGCTTTAGCTGATCATATTCTTTGATTTCCTTACCCCAGTAGACTCCTTTTTAACCATGGAGCTTAAAAGCGACACTAGCTGCTTTTTGTTCCCTCAAAGTTTTGGGTTTTTTTTTTTTTTTCCTCTCTCTCTTCAGGATCATTATATTCCGTTGTGCCTTTTATTATTGTGTCTTTTAGGATCTCCTAACCTTGTATACTCTTGGGCTTTATTTAATAGTGAGCTCCCTCCTCCACACTAAACCGTGCTCATGCTCATTAGGTTTCTTAATCCTCCATAATTTGCTTTCATGAAATCTTATACCTTTGAGTTGCTGTGTTCTATGAGCCCATTTCCTTAGTACAGCTATTCCAAGCAGCCCAGAATCAACAAGCACTAAACATAAGCTTATTCACTTTCTCAGCCAACATGACTCTACAGAAAAAAAAAATCTTTGTTTTCAATGTTTATGGACCATGAAACTATACCATTTAACTTGGTATTTCATTTTCTCACCCAAACATTGCCTGAGAAGGTTAGGACCATAGAATTAGACTCCAGGCAGTCCTTAACATATTTATTAACTTACAGACTTCAGATTCTTCTTGGTCAGAAAACTATTCTATTTTAATAGAACAGAAATAACAATAGCCTGTTATTCTGTAATGCCTCGTAAATTTCTTTTTTTTTTTTTCCTTATACCCAGAATTTGGGAAAACAGAAAAACTGTTTTGTTTTGTTTTGTTTTGTTTTTTTCAGTTATTCTGCAAAAAACTCTCCTTCTCCAAATGAGCTGTATTTAAATGATAGGTGCATGTTCTTGGAATCTGACTACATAGCCAACTAACCTTTTCAGTAGTTCCTTTTTTTCTTCCATTCTATTTACTACATCTCTAAGCACCTTGTTGATGGCTGAGTACAGAAATGCTAAAAGAGCATATATTTTAGCTTTGTTTCTAATTTCATAGGTACTTTGATAAAAAATAAAATGAAACTAAAAACCAAGAATCTTGGTAGTGAATTGAAAGAGTTAATATTTTCCAAAGGTGCCTAGCTTATTCAAGCAAAGTTTACACTTCAACCCTGTGCATGTTAACTTGTGATCCTCCCCATCCAGATGATAGAAAGCAAAGCCAGTAAGTTCTTTCTTTAATTGGTTTGCATCCACACACTGACCTCCAGGGCTCTGTTTACATAGCCTATCATGCAATATGTTCCACAGTTCTCTGCCTCTTTCAAAAGCATGTTTCTCCTGAGATTTGATATATGGCTTTCATGTTTAATCACTACATTAAACTCAATGCTCTGCTTCCTCCAGCATCAACTAACTTTAACTTCCCTTCTTGGGAGGTGGGGAGAGGAGCATGGCTTCTTGCTACTTCTGAACATAAAAGGAAGTCTGTTTTACTTTATTACTAAAATCACCAACTACATATGATCACAGGTAAGCAACATCAGCATATCAACCAGTAAACTGTACTAAAAGGGAAACCTTAAAATTCCTTAAAAAGAAGGTAGCCTGATTGTTCTGTATTGGTAGAGCTGAGTAACTTTAGGTGATGGAGTTATAACCCATCAGAAAAAGAATTTAATTAGTATACAATTCAGTACAAAGAGTAGATATAGCTAGATAACAGATAAAGGTATTAATCAAATTAATCTTGAGGGTGGACTTCTACTACTGGAGTTCTCAGATCAGCATCAGTTCAGGGCTCTACCATCTCGTTGAAGGTTTTCTTAAGCTCCAACACTAACAGAACAATCCAGAGTCTCTGTACCTGGAAGTGGCCATGGCAATGCCACATTTCTTAGGGTCCCTTTCCCAGAACTATGTCCCTAGTTTCTGAGATGGATGAAAGCCTCAAAAACTTAAAGAAGCTGAGTCAATATGTAACTTTCAGACTTAAAAAAAATTACATAATATGTATTTTACTTTAAAATATTTCAATAAAAAGAAAACAACCATGGCAAATTACTAACAAGAGTCAAATCTAAATGATGGTATTGTGCATGATAATATGCTAGTTGTATTATCCCACTACTTCAGCTCAAGGTTTATAAAAAAAAACTTTTGGAACATAATAAAAACACAGAGGTTGCTGATTTGTTTTTAAAAAATCATGGTAAGAAAAATTTATATATTTTTCTAGTTTGATAATTTTGGTATATATTCAACAACTACCATTTATTTTTTAATCAGGTACTGACAATGAAAACTTTCCTTCCTCCTAAATCTCTCACTTCACATCTGAAACTTACTTATACAAACTGCAAATGTATTATAAACTGCATAAATTAGATACTTTCTTTGACATATATATAATTTTCCCTGAAATCCTTTCCTTTTTAACTTGTCACAGAGGTTAGTATTTATTTCTAAGGTTGTTTTGTTGTTGCTGTTGTTTGCCTTACATTAAGATTGGCAGCCTTAATTTTAAAAAAAAAATCTTACTTTTCCAGTAACATTACAGCTGTATACAACATCAGTTAGCTTACTTTCTGCACGTGACAGATATTGAACCTATTGCGGTCAATGATTTTGTCATTTCAATGATACCTTTTTTCCTAACCAAAATTTGTTTGATATAGAATATCAAAGAACAAACTGCTAGTTTCCTTTGTCATGATCCCCCTCATTCAAAAAACTCTTAAGAAAAAAATACCTGTTCCCCAATTTAAAGCCAAATAGATTCTTAATATAACATATTTAAATTCAAATTAAAAAAGCAAACTTTTAGTCAGATTCCCCCAAAAAGTTTTCAGTGTACAGAACATTGTAGTTCTCAAAGGCATACACATGTTGTCTATGATAGACATTCTTTCAAAATTTAGGACTTAAAAAAATAAGAGTCATGGACAAAATCTTTGCTCACAAGAGTGAAAGATGTGTGCCTGTACAGATGGTAGAACTATTTTCATGATAAATACTAACCTTCACTACAGGAATTTAACAGTGCACTTTAATTTGGATTTAAAAATTTAACATAAATTTTCTGACTTTGACAATAGCTGCCTAATATTTCAGTTTTCTACACTATTTCCAGGTTTTACCTTCAAAATGAACCTAGTAGATTTTTTTATTTTAAAAAGCTATATTCCAGATCCTATACCCTAAAACCAGTTTCTGACTTCATGCTTAGGGATTTAAACGAGAACATGATATACTGAGTTCCGAATAAAAATTTTGTGATGGCTAGCAATGACGAAAATGGTTATTTTTATGCGAAAATTCATTCTCAATCAATTTTACCAATTTATTTTCATTATACTTAGAAATTGTAGCTATTAAAGTATGAAAAAGACTTTTCAACCTATTTTGAGTCATCATCTGGGATTAATAACAGTCAAATAGTTCATACAATGCCCTATGCCTTGACTCTCCATATTCTCAGTATTGTAAAACAATGCTTACTGCATCACTGACACATGTATTCAGAAGCTCAAGAAAATACAGAATGGAAGATTTCTAAAACTATGGTTCTCAAATTAGGTGAAATCATTTAGTCAAATATATAGACTTCATATTTTAAATGTCTCACTAGCTTAGAAAAATCTATAAAGCTATCCAATGAAAGAAAGATGGAAGCTTTTGAAGAAGAAAATTATGTTGACTCCTAATGTAGTACCAAAAACAATATATACAGCCCTTGGTTCCTTTGGAAACACAATAAACAAAAACATTTTTACCTTAAAATATAATGTGCCCAAAACAGAATAATACTTTTAATTTCAGTAAGTTATATATTTTTCTACAAATTATTTTCTACTGGAATTGAAAACTAATGTTTGTTTATCTATTAACAGTTCATCAGAGGGGTAATTCCTTTACATTAGGTGAATTTTGTGCTTTAATTATAAACATCAGAAACTGAAGCATATAAATCTCAACAAGTGACATAAAGACACAGTCAAATCTGAGGATTATATGGCTACATTCATGCTTAATGAGTAGAAAACATCTAATGAGGCTGATATGCCACTGTTTGTGGGAATGTAAATTTTTTCTTAATAGATACAAAATAATGGTGTAAGGTGATCTTAGTTTTCCACTACTCCCATCCCTAACAAAGTAAATTTCTTAGCAAGCTATATGTCTTACACAAACTTCTATCTGTTTTGGCTAAAACTTTATAATTATAAAACTTTATAATTTGCTGGAGTAAATGGTTCTATTACCCATATTTGATGACAAGTCACTTGTAGAGAATTTTCAAATTATTCAGGATGCTTTGTCCACTGAGAATAATACCCATTTTTGAGCAATGAGTATCGTACAAGCCCTGCCTACTTTTTTAAATGAAACTCTGCAGATATAGAGCATTTAATGCTTATTGCAGAACTATCAAGAATCCCAAAGTGAACATCTCAAGTTATGCTTCCAAGCAGCCAATAACCCTGCTCTGAGGTGGGGCTCATGTTTTGAAAAGAAACTGCCTAGTCTGTTTAAAATCAAAATGGTTCTTGATCTGATGAATTACTCCTCAGAGAATAATGTAAATAAAATATACTCAGAATAACATTATTAATGTAAACATACCTGAACCAGAGTCAAATTTGGTTTCTGACCTGCAAAAAGAAAAAAAAATTTACAATATAAAAACTGCTTGTAAAAGAATAATAGTTATTTTATGGGGAGAATAAGATGCAATAGTTACAGATTTCAGTAATTAGTAAACAAGTAAAACAGCTTTTTAAAATGTAAATACATACTTACTTCAACTGTTTTAATGTATGCATTACCCTAGGTCCCGTAAATATGCACCTATCCATAAAAATAGCAGAGTATGGAAAAGATATTAACTTTTTAAGCTTGCATTTGAAAGGAAAGAGATAAATTATGTTTTTTAAAGCAACCCAATCTCTATTGATGAACTTGCTCTACTATTAAAATCAAGCAATAAAAATCTCAAATTTGAAATTATCCCCTTAATATAATGAGATTTCTAGTTAATCAACACCAAGCAATTTTTCACTGTTTTTCACAGAGTCAATGAACCTAGTAAACCCCGTACATCTAATAAGAGGGAGGAAAAAAATCTGAGCCCTTGTGGGAACATTATGTTTCAGATATAGGTTAATACTCGTTGTAAATTCAGAAGCCTTTGAAGCTCCCAGCTCGGCTGTGGGAAAACTTCTGTTGGGTAATTACTCTCAAGATGCTGCTGATGTGCTGTCAAGCAGAATTAACCCTATGACTAGGCCTATCTACACAAACTACTATAAGGCAGCATTGTCTATATCTAGCTCTCAAACCAATTAGTAGGCATGTTCCAGTCGGATTTATATCACACATTAACAATCAATAGTATATATGTTCACAGCTGCCACAGCAAGATCCAAGAACCTACCAGCAGGAGTCCTGTTAAAGGATGTTACATTGACAGAGATTTTTTTCCTGGGGAAATGCAGTTAACTAAGTGGGAAAGGAGATTTCTTTGAAATTATGCCAGGGTACCAAAGCACTTTTGGAAGCAATGGTTTTCTTTACCCAAATTAGCTTCAAGAAAAGTCATCAAAGCAGGGGAGGGGGTTGGACAAAGGAGAACAGCTTCCTTTGTCATAAAAATTCATTTTCTTTAAGTAGTACCAAATAAAGTTTTACCTTATGCTTACATAAAGCTTATGTAATCAATAATTATAAAACAAACAAAAAAATTGATGTGATTATAACCACAGGTATTGATAACCACCACTATAATCCCGGTTTTTCACTGGGTGCTTCCTTCGAGTGCTAAGCCATTTTCACTGCTGTTCTCTCTCCTGTACAGAAGGCCTCATACCTTCTCCTTTGTTTCTACCATCTAGAAGAGGTTATTAATCTGTAGCCAAAGTAGCTACAAAGTGCCAGTGCTTGTATTCAACAATGTTTGTTGAAATTTCTCCACCCACATCCTTCTTGTCTGTATGAGGTGTGCTTCTGTCTAATATTCTATGTCCTAAAATACATTATTTCATCATTCCTAAAACCAGAATGAACCAACAGTTCCTTCATTCTGCTGTATAAACAGAAAATGGGTCTCCACATGTGCTCTGCAGGATAAAAGTACTGCAGAATTTAAAAAAGACCCTCCTGTAAACCTCTGCCCTGCTCTTGTCAACCCCTTCCTCCTTGGCTTCATAATCAAGTTTATTTAAAAGATAGGCTATATCCTATAATATATGTATTGTTTTCCTTGACCTCACAACATATTTTCTCTTTGAACCACTACAATCTGTCCTTGCTAGGGGTAATCAGTGGTTTCCCAATGCTAAATCCAAAAGCCCAGTTACAATCTCTAAAGCTCTACAACTAACAAATAATACTACCTGAATGGTTTAACTGTGACTTCAAATGCCTCAGTTACTAAGATGAATTTACTTTCCACTAGCTGTCTGCTTGGACTAGTGAAGTTCTGAATTTGTGTCAGTGAAGAACAAGAACATTCCCAGGTCTTTCAACATCTCATGAGGCCCCACCATCTGACCACCTATAACAATGAGATCCCTGACCAGTGAAAGGGGAAGAACCATGCTCAGCAGAAGCCCTATCTCAGCAGCTGTATCCCAAACCAAATAACAGGAAAAAGGAGAAGTCCCAAAAAAAAGGCCACATGAATGGTTGAGAAAGTAATACAACATGGAGAGAGAATAAATCTCCAGAACCCTATCAAAGACATACCTTACCATAATAAAGCAATCTACAACACTACAGCAAGCCCATAGATAAAATTATTCTCAATGGTGAAAATCTGAAAACTTTTCCTCTAAGATCTGGTAGAAGACACCTATTCAACACAATATTAGAAATAGCTGCTAGAGCAATTAAACAAGAGATAGCTATAAAAGGAATCCAAATTGGGAAAGAAGTAAAACTATCATTATTTTCACATGACATGATAAGATACCTGGAGAACCCTCAAGACTCTGTGAAAAAACTAACTGAAACAATCAATTCTGAAAAGTGGCAGGGTAAAGACAATACACAAAACTCAATTGTCTTTCTATACACAAATAAGAAATAGAGAAAGAAATTAAGAAAGTGATCCTATTTACAATTACACCAAAAATAAAATTATATACCTAGGAGTAAACCTAATAAAGGAGATAAAAGATCTATCCAAAGATAACTGTAAGACACTGTTAAGAGAAATAGAAGTGGACACACAAAAAAGAAATATATTGATCTCCTAATTTCACTACAACTGTTGCTCTGAAGTCTTCTAGTAATTTGATTAATTCTATGGTACTAGGGACTTTTCCCAGCATTTGATCTTGATCCATTAATTTGGGTAAATTTTTCTACCTGCTCATTCTGTTTGAAGCTCTTTGATTATTTTTTTATGGGTTACACTAGACTTTATCCTTCCCAGTCCTGCTGTGATTGTTTCACATTACAATTGCAAGTCACAAGGTATTGGCCTAAGGTATTGGTCTTAGACACTGTGCTTTTTCTTGCTGTATGGTTAAAACCTTATTATCAATTAGAATGACTGGAACTTCAGAGTCAGCATGAGGTGGTGATCTAAGAACCTGGACTACATGGTGAAGGCTGAATGTGTGTGAGGATAAGGAGAAATAAGGGGTGATATGGCGGTAGTTGCTGAGTAGGGATCTGCAATCACTACAGAACTCTGATAGCCTACCAGTTTCAGGACAGCCAATCTCTAATGTCTTGCTGAGTTAGTCAAGTATGGCATTGTTAGGTCACTGTTAATTGGTCATTTCTGTTACCTTCAACCAATATACCCTAACTACTGTTGTTACCATAGTAAAACTAGATTATGACTCTCTATTCACTCTTTAAAACTTCAGCTTTGGGCCCTCCCTGATGACACAATGGGTTAGGACACAGCACTGCAAGCTGGCCCCAGCCGCTTCAATGTGAGTCCAATCCACAGCCCTGGAGGTGATTCACGTGGCACAGCAGACCTCTTCCTTCTCTCCCACTGCTCCCCTCAGCCCTGTACTTCGTTAGTCTGCCTACTCATCTTTGGTTAATCCTCTCCCCTCCCCTGCACTTCTGGCCTGTACCCCAGTTCTGTATGCATAAATAAATAAATTCTATACTATATTTTGATGAACTGTTGTCATAAAGATAAATAACATAAAAATATAGTTAGCTACTAAACTAAAAACTGAGGAAAAGGTCAACTAGAACGTTCCCTTAATTTAATTAAATGCTTAATTTTTTAACTAGTAAATAAAAAACAAATTTACAAATCAAGATAATCATGAGCAAAAGAACTGCAAGAATTCATCCAAGACACTTTGAAATCATGATACAATTGTGACTACTATGATTATGTGATTTTTAATGAAAGAAAAAATTACACTTTTGTATGAAAATCAGATTTATAGTTGCGTGGTTAAGAAATATTACCAAATCAAAACAATTCAAAACATCTTAAAATTTGCCAATATTAAAAAGTAGTAAGTCATGTTCCAAGGGGAAGTTTAACTTCATTACAAAATATTAATATACAGGAGACCAAATTGAGACGTAAAAATGATTCAAAGAAAACAAAAAAGCAAAAACTATAGAAAAATATATTAAGAGGTGATGTGCAAAATTCATTTTTTCCAACTTTCAATAAATATTGATTGAGCTCTTAGACACTGGGCTTTATGTTACACACTAGGTGTACTGTGGTAACTAAACACTACAAAGTGGGAACAATGGCAGAAAAAGGCAGTCAAAGGAGACAGGCAAGGTCAGTCCAGCTCTTGCACTTTCTATCACATAAGACTTCAGAAAAGTTAAGAATCAGGTCAGCTATTTGCTCGGTTAACTACTAAGTTTCAGTTTCACTGTCTATACAATAGTGTAGACTTTAAAACTTAAATGTAGATTATGTGAGATTCCATAAAGTGATCAGGTCCTGGCACATATTAAAGGTGAATGAAAGGTAGGTTTTATCTAAGCAATAATACTAAATGATATTAAGAGACACATATAATTAGCAATATTTTAGCTAAGTAAAAAAATACTATATTATTAAAAGGAGGATTGTGTTATTGTGCTCTGAGGCACCCATTTCAATATGGCTGTTAAAATGATATAGTAAAAATGAGAGAGAACGACAATAAAAATAACTGATTAACTAGAAGTATTCAGTTAGTAAGTAACTAGATAACTAGAAGGAAAATAACTAGATAACTAGAAGGTAAATAACTAGAAGGAACATTCATGGAAAATAATAAAAATGACCTGATTACATATCTAAAATGGCAATCTTTGAAATTCTCCAACAAAGCGTGGTAAAATGTATTCAAGATCATAATGGTATAAGAATGAGAACTGTAATCTAGGTCAGAAACCAGAACTACATACTACCTGAGTCCCATTTTCCTCTCTAATAAAATGAGGGATTTAAAATAGATTAATCTTGCCCCACAAATTATCCAATGGAGAGATAAGCTATTAAAAGTTTTCTGTAGTTCCTAAGATGAAAAAATGAGAATAGGGAGGAAAGATAACAGAAGGAAAATGAGTGGACGTGATAAAAGTTTGCATCTGTAGTACTCAAATCTATAGAAGGAAAAGGCTGGGGAAAAAGATAATTGTTAAGGCTGTCTTTGGCTCTCAG